TTGGAGGACAGTTTTCGTTTATTCACACATGGAAAGATAAGAGGTTTCCCTCACAGCTGCTCATGGAACAGTAGCTCCAAGCAAGGGATGTGTTGAGAGGACCCGGCCTAGTGCGCTCAGTGAAGGCAGCTCCTACGGTTCCTGGCCTTTTCTTCCTTTGTCCCGGGAATCAGTGCGCTGTCTGCTCGGTCTTGGTCTCACGTGTGCTGCCAAATGCCACACGCTATTCCATTTGGTATCGCCGAGAGCGCTCCCCACAGTGCAGGGCTACCAATTTTATTTCACGAAAGTAGAGGTATTTATTTTTCCTGATGTGTCTGCCTGCTTGGTGAGCTGCCTTTCTGCGGTGCCCCAGCCTGGTGGGAACCGGGGACGGCAGAGTAAGATGGAGCCCACCTCCTGGCAAGGATCGAGGGGAGTTAGCAAGTCCCAGTGCTGCAGAACACATGGCACGGCCAGTTGAGAAGCAAATACCCATCCAGAACTGGGAGTCCTATGTTTAGGTCCGCTCCAGTTCTTAAGACCCTGTCCAGAAAGACTGGGGCCCGGGACAGACACCGCAACTGCGATCCAAGTCAGAAGTCGCCAAGCTCTCAATTGGGTTGCCTTTGGAGTTGTCTTTGGGGACGTGTAAACGTAAGTGTAACCCCTTTTTATTTTTTTTTAATTTTTTTAATTTTTATTTTTTTTAAGATTTTATTTATTTATTTGACAGAGAGAGACAGCGAGAGAGGGAACACAAGCAGGGGGAGTGGGAGAGGGAGAAGCAGACTTCCCGCTGAGCAGGGAGCCCGATGAGGGGCTCGATCCCAGGACCCTGGGACCATGACCTGAGCCAAAGGCAGACGCTTAAGGACTGAGCCACCCAGGTGCCCCTGCAACCCCTTTTTAAAAGCCGCGATGGAGAATACTAACAGAGAAGTACATTGTGTGGCCAGGCGTGGGTGGAGGAAGGCTTTGTCATAAGAAAAGCTATAATCCTCAATAGAGTTTGGCTGAAAACTGAAAACGTTGCTTGGGACAGACTGGTCGGTTCCTTCAGTGCCTTCCCATTCATTATGTTTCCCTCTCACCGCCAGGCACGTTTTTCCATTTTCATCTCTTTTCCCTTTGAACTCAAGGAATGCAGTTATGAACTTCCATTCTGTGAGGACTCTGTCTATCTGTCAGGCCTTCAGACAGGAAATAATTGGATGTTTTGCCACAGGCAATAGGACAGGCAGCATTGGACTTCAAGCCTCCCTGCTGGCCTCACGCTGTCTCCTGCTATTCTGATGGTTGTGCCGTGATGAACCTAAAAGAGCAGCTGCTGATGCTGCATTGAGATGGAGAGGGTAGAACCCACCCCATCCGGGGCCTAGTTACGTTTTTGCAGTACTTCAGGAAGAATGCGAGAGAGATTGGTGCCTGGGGGGGGGGTAAAGGTGATTAAAGGAGTGTGTGTGTTTACATCTTTGAACTTCTCTCAGGAATATTTACATTCCTATCATGACTTTGGGAGGATACAACCAAATTAGAGTTTTACTCCATTTAGGTGTTTTTTGGGGGTAGGAAATTATATGTATTGCGTGACAACTTAGCGAGATGACATACACTCTTATCTCTTTGTGTAAGATACATGCAGTGTTGCAACCTTTCCTTTCAACTGTTCCATAAAAATCTAAAAAAAAAAAAAATTCCAATTATTCAGCCATGAGAAAGAAGGACATCCTGCCATTTACAACAACAGGAATGGACCTTGAGGGCATTATGCTAAGTGAGATAAGTCAGACAGAGAAAGATAAGTACTGTATGATATCACTTATATGTGGAATCTAAAACAGCCAAGCTCATAAAAACAGAGAGTTAAAAGGGCGCCAGGGGACGGGGTGGGGGGCAGTGGCTAGGTCGATGTTATTTAAGGGTACAAGCTTGCAATGAGTAGTAAATATGCACTAATCTAATTCACAGTATGGTGAATATAGACAACAATATTGAAGTTGACCCTTGAGCAATGCAGGTTTGAATTATGCAGGCTACTTACACATGAATTGTTTTTACAATACAGTACCGTAAATGTGTTTTCTCTACCCTATGATTTTCTTAAATACTTTCTTTTCTCTAGCTTACTTTATTATAAGAATACAGTATATAATACATATAACGTACAAAATATGTGTTAATTGACTGCTTCTGTTACCGGTAAGGCTTCTGGTCAACAGCAGGCTATTAGTTGTTAAGTTTTTGGATAGTCAAGAGGGGCACCTGGGTGGCTCAGTTGGTTGAGCGTCTGACTCTTGATTTCAGCTCAGGTCATGATCTCGAGGTCCTGGGACTCCCCCCCCCGCCCCCCCCCCCCCCCCGCAATCAGGCTCCATCCTCAGTGGGGAGTCGGCTTCTCTCTCGTCTCTCTCTTCCTCTGCCCCTCCCCCCACCCCCCTGCATGGGCCTGTGCTCTCTCTGAAATAAATAAATAAAATCTTAAAAAAAAAAAAGATTTTGGAGAGTCAGAAGTTATCTGTGGATTTTCAGCTACATGGGGGTTGGCACCCCTAGCCACCACATTGCTCAAGGGTCAACTACATAATCACCAAACTTACTAAGAGACTAGAACCTAATTATTCCTACCATGAAAAGAAATAATTATGTAACATGATGGAGGTGCTAATTACAATGACAATCATATTAAAGTATATCAATGTATCAAATGAATATATAATACACCTTAAATTTACAGTGTTATATATCAAATATATTTGACCTAAAAAAATCCAAACAGATTCTCACTGATCAAAAATTTAGACTTGCTTACCCTACTGTTTTTGTTAGGACTCATTGGAATGCTATAGAAACTGAAGGAGAAATTAGTATCTTTAGCACCGTTTGGAGAGGAGTATATACATTATTATTTCCTCTTGGAAAAGATAAATGTGGTTAGAAAAATATTCTGATTTACCAATAGCAACAAGTTACTAGTTATTTCATTTTTGTTCTTAGATTTGCAAAGCAAGTGTCTTCACTTATCTGTGCAGAGAACAAAGGAATGTCAAGCATACGCAAAACAAACTAAGTTGCAAAAGTCAAGTATAGTAACCTGACTCACTTTAATTTTGAAAAAATGCTTATCATTCTACTTTACTGTGCAAAAATGGGTTTAGTATAAACTGCTTCTCTACCATGCTGTGACCACTGTCAAAGTTCATAAATAATCCATATATTTATTACACTAATGATTTTCTTTCCTTTCTTGTTTTTCCACATTTCTCTTCCTGACTTCTTCATGATATTTTAAAATGCCACGATTAAATCTTTCATGCATCTTTATAATCAGGTTTGGCTTTTCAAAACTGTTGCAAATAGAAGAACATTTAACTTCATTTCAGTTCTAACAATATTTGGAAGGCCACTACATACCAAGTACTGTATGAGCTGCCGGGGATAAAGTGATGGATAGAAGAGTTTCTAACCCCATGGAACATAGTCTAAAAGGAAAACAGACATTATTTATTTGTTTCTTTTAATGTATTCATTCATTTATTTATTTAACTATTTACTACTAACTACTAAGTACTTCTACAGTTCTCATTATATGCTAGGTACTATTCTAAGCAGTTTGCTAGCATTTCATGTAAGTAATTATATATGATAAGTATCTCTAAAGAGGTAAGTCATCGTTTTTAATTTGGATTTCACCATAATTTAATAATAGGGAACAACAGAGATTTGAGGCATGAAGGTAAACGCACAACATTTCTCTTTTGTTCAATTACATCTTCCAAATGTGAGACCGGGACAGGACAAAAGAGAAATCCGGTCCCGTATAGCAGGAGAGGAGTGCTTAGTTGGGTTCATGATCCTCTCCCAGAACTTTTTCTTTCCTTCCTCCTTCCTTAACCTGTTGTTCACACTGTTGGCACTGTTGACTGTTGCCTGATGTTGCTGTTGACTCTTTCCATACTGGTGTATTTGGGGAGAAGTTAATGAAGAATACCTGTCTTCGAACTTTGCTTGCTAAGCCCTATTTTCTTAGAATTTTTCAAGGTGACAATTTACAAAGTAAACTTTAACCTGAGTAGTCTGAGGAATGTCTGTTTTTCCTTTTTAGTTCCAAATCTAATTTTGTTCTTTGAAAGTTCATGGATGGGGCACCTGGGTGGCTCAGTTGGTTAAGCGACTGCCTTCGGCTCAGGTCATGATCCTGGAGTCCCGGGATGGAGTCCCACGTCGGGCTCCCTGCTCGGCAGGGAGTCTGCTTCTCCCTCTGACCCTCCCCCCTCTCATGCTCTCTCTATCTCAGTCTCTTACTCAAATAAATAAATAAAATCTTTAAAAAAAAAAAAAAGAAAGTTCATGGATATTGCTTTTCAAGTAACCTATTCTAGAAATGATGTATTATACTCTTAATTGCATAATTTATACTACAGTATTTCAAAAGCCTTTAGAAATTCTTCTGCTTTTTTATAAAGTTCATTTTGCAAATCAAAATAAATTATATGGGTTAACCAGAAGGCACTGTAAGACAAAGATAAATGTGTAAACTGCATGAGAATAAGATTGTTACCATGCATTGGACAGTCTTTTAATTCTGGAAACCTCCTTGAAAAAAGAAAATTTGTGAGTTTCTTCTAGGAAATTTAGGAGGCCCCTAGAATATCACCTTTGTGATAACATTTTCTTGACTACCTAATGTATCTGACCTTTGTTAGTCTTCTTTCATAAAAATTGAAACCTGTCTCGGGTTGTTCACAATTAATTAATTCCAGCCTATTGCTTATCTAGAGTTAGCCACCCCCACCCCCCCACCCTTGGCTTGTCGGTATCATCAAGTCCACATTTAGGCACTAATTATCCGGTCCCATATAGCAGTTCCGGTAATAAGCAAAGTTTCAGTTGGGTAACAATTGCAATCTTGTATATGTGTTGTCTGCTAAATTTGACCGTTAAGGAAAAAAAATACCGTATTAGCAATTCTTTGTGCTGGTCTAAATTTTGAATGTGCCCAAAGTATGCTTTGTTTTTAGGACCATATTGTGGAAGTATGCCTGTTCCCAAGGAACTCCTATTGACCACGAACGAGGTCACTGTGCGCTTTGCGAGTGGATCCCACATTTCGGGGCGGGGATTTTTGCTGACCTATGCGAGCAGTGACCATCCAGGTATAGCGGAAGAATCCACCCAAATCTGTAAACTTGTGTCTGTCTGAGAATTCCTCTTGCTACTTGTATCACCATCTTTGGATAGAATTGTGACCTCAGGTAGAGAATATGTGAAGGAAGAGAGGAATGCAAAGTCTTTGTAAGCAGTTCGATCTGAACTCAGAATACTTTTATCGAGCATGTTAGATTGATCAGCTGACCTATGTGGGAGAGGGTTGATCTCATTTTCCTAGAAATGTTGGATGATGCATCTTTGGGGCTATTTTAAGGTCTGGTTAGTCCCTGGAGCCCTCCCCCCAACCTTTTTCACCTTAGGGGACAAGTAACCAGTGGCACCTCCACCCTCCACCCCCCACGTCCACTCACATACACCAGGTGCACCAGCACGAGGGAAGCCCTGGGAGTCTGAGTCACATGTGAAGTCACTGTCACCGTGTGCTTAACCCTGGAGCTGACACTTGAGCAGGAGAGAAGGAGAGTATAGAAACCGATGAGGGAGGAAAGCACGGCCTCCTGTCTAGGCCTCTTGGGCTCCAGAGTGATTACTGTACATGCACTCCATGTCTGGCCAAGGTCACAGAAGTGCCCAGAGTTTCTGCTCTCAGTGCCCCCTGGCAGAAAGGCTCCAGGAGGGGGGTGCGCCATTCATTTCCCTCTCATCCAATCAAATCTAGCCAATCCCAACAGACCACAGCAGGACCAGTGTTCACCATATGTTGCTCCCTCAGAACTACTGAAAATATTAAGGAAAGAAAGAATTATTGCAGCAAGTGTGGAATATTTTGGAAACTATCCGAGGTTGATCTAAATGCATTAAAATCCACAACATCTTAGCGTCCCCGATTCTGAGTGTTCATTCAGTTCTGTATTCCAAAGAGCATTCTCTTTTTTAAGTCCTTGGTCCTGACTGATCAAAGTGGAAAGGTTGTATTCTCAGTAAGCACGTGGTTCCATGGGCACTCAGATGCCGCTAGCTAAATTGCCAAATTAAAATGTTCCCGAACCTTCTCTATGAACCACGTCAGGCTTTTGAAATTGTTTTCCTCTTGCCAAGGGAGGTTATTATACACATGATCTTTGTAGGCATGTAGTGGACAGTAATGAACCAGTGTTGGTTTTTCTGTTTGAAATAGTTCCTGTTAGCGTTCACTGGACAATTGCTGAAAAACCATGGTTTGTGGTAGAAAAGAGAAATGGAGGAAATTGGTTAAATCCTGAAGACAGTGTTCTCAGTTTTGATTTATTTTTAAGGAGAAAAATTCAGATAATAACTAGATAGTGAATAAATGCTCTTTAAAAATCCTTTTTTAGGGGCACTGGGTGGCCTAGTCAGTTAAGCGTATGCCCTCTGCTCAGATCATGATCTCAGGGTCCTGAGATGGAGCCCCGCATCGGGTTCCCTATTCAGCGGGGAGTCTGCCTCTCCCTCCCCCTCTCCCCCTGGCTTGTCTCTCTTGATCACTGTCTCTCTCTCAAATAAATAAAATCTTTAAAAAAATTTTTAGAAGTCCTTATTTAAAATTATTTAAAATTATTATTGTTATTTTTTTTTTAGCATGAGTATCCTTCCATTCGGTCTCCTAATTGCAATTATCTTTATTTATGACAGATTTAATAACGTGCTTGGAACGCGCTAACCATTATTTGAAAACAGAATACAGGTAAATACGGTGTCCAAGTTGTGCTGCAGGCATAAGTTGCTGGACATTATGCTTTCTTTCACATTAAACCAGATAAAGTAGCTTATTTGTATTTAATTTTTTTTAAAATCATTTATGTTGTAAGTAATGAAGAATACTTGAAATGCTTTCTTATATAGCAGAGATCAGCAAACTTTTTGTCCAGGGCCAGATAGTAAATATTTTCGATTTTGCAGGCAGTGCAGTCCCTTTGGCATCTGTTCATAGTTTCTGTTGGCTGCTGTGATGCAAAAGCAATCATGGACAATATGTAAACAAACGTGTGTGGCAGTGTTCCAATAAAACTTTATTTAAAAACCAAACAGCAGCCGGGATTTGGCCCATGAGCTACAATGTGCTGACCCCTGAGTTCTACTGTCGTACCAGTGAGCCGTAGTGGAGTCTAGACTGTGTTTTTTCACCTGGCCAGCATTTGGAAGTGACTTTTGTAATTCCTTCACTTTCAGAGGGAGTTCATTTTGTCTTTCTCACAAAAGAGAAACTTACTGAGGATAGGAGATGAAATTTTTGACTCCAGCTTTACTTCAACTGGAAAAATTACTGAATCTCTTTGATGTACATTTCCTCATTTATAAAGTAAGAGCAGTCCAGAGCAGGACTTCTCAACCATGGCACTATTGTTATTTTGGGTTAGATGATTCTTTGTTGTGAAGAGCTGTTCTGTACCTTGTTGGATACTTACCGGTGTCCCTGTCCTCTACCCTCTGTGTGCCAGTTGTGATAACCAAAAATATCTCCAGATGTTGCCAGATGTCTTCCAGAGCAGGCAAAATTCACTCCCTGTTGAGAACCACTGGTCTAGAGAGAACTGTCAGTAACACCGCTAACAACAGCTATAACTCCTTAGAGTGCTTTCTTCTTGCCAGTCATAGCTCCCTGGACTTTGCACATAAATAAGTCATGTGAATGTTCTAGCAGGCCTGCAAGGTAGGCTCTGTCATACCCTGAAAACAGAGGCACAAAGCAGTTAAGTAGCTTGCCCAGGACTACACACTTCATGAGTATGCCCAGACAGTCAGGCACAAGAGTCCATGGTCGTGACCACCTCGGATATTCTAATAAATGAGATTATTTTACATGCCGAATTGATTTTAGTGTTAACTAATATTAAGTCTAGTAGGGAAACAAAAAAGAAAATGACCAATAATTTGAATAGACAATAAAAATTAAAATGACCAATAATTACATTTGCCCTGTAAAGTTGCCATTCATGCATCATGGACAAATGCCAACCTTCTCTGAGATCTTTCCAGCCATACCTGTAGAGTCACAGTGGTGATAGGGCCTCTGGGCATCAGCGGTCATTTCCTGTCCTCCTACAGAAAAGATTATACTCAGGCCTGCAGGGTGATGTTACAGTGCCAGATCATCTAGGCTACAGCCCAGCCGTTAGTGTTTGGGTAAGATGAGGTGTGGTGACTAGTACAGATCCACATTCCCTCATCTATGATTGTGAAATGTCGAAAGCTTTAAAAGTCAAAGGGTTTTGGGGCGCCTGGGTGACGCAGTCGGTTAAGCATCCGACTCTTGGTTTCGGCTCAGGTCATCATCTCCGGGCTGAATCCGAGATCAAGCTCGGCCCTGGTTTTATGCTCAGCGTGGAGTCGGCTTGAGATTCTCCCTCTCCTCTGTCCTTCCCGCTCATGTTCTCTCTCTCTCTCTCTCAAATAAATAAATAAATCTTAAAAAAAAAAAAAAAGAGCCAGAAGGCTTTTATGACTCATATGCTGGCAATACCTGATTAGTGTAAACTTAAATTCATTTGACAGTAAAATTGAACTAAATTGAGTCTATTTAGTCTTTGTGCATTGGCCTTAGATATTAATGTTTTTGATTAATATATGCAGCCATCAGATGAATAAGGTCTGAGAATCTAATGTGTACCATGATTATAGCAGATAACACTGTATTATATAACTGAAATTTGCTGAGAGTAGAATTTAAATGTTTTTGCCAGAGATATATGTGTTATATATGTGTGTGTATTTAAATATATACATTTACATATTAATATATGTGAGGCGATGGATATGTTAATTTACTAGTTGGGTAACATATACCAAATCATCGTGATATACATTTGAAATGTCTTACAATTTGTCAATTATACCACAGTAAAGCTGAAAAATATATATACCTTTTTTTTTCTGATTGCAAAAGTAATTTATAACTAAAGTAGACCATCACTAGCCATGTGTGGCTATTAAAGACTTGAACTGTGACTAGTCCAAGTTCAGGTGTGCTATGAGTATAAAATAAACTGCAGATTTTGAAGACTTGGTACAAAAGAAAAAAGACTAGAAATATCTTGTTGATAATTTTTTTTTGTTCATTACATGTAGAAATGATAAAATTTGAATATATTGGGTTAACTAGAATATATTATTGTTAGTTTTGCCTTTTTTTCTTTACCTTTTTAATATGGCTACTAGAATATTTAAATTTACATATGTGGTTTCCATTAAGTTACTATTGGAAAGTGAGTGCTAGTAGGCTGAATCAAGATATTACAGAGTCAAATGGCACAGAAAGTGGAAGTTTCTCAAAATGCTATTCTTGGAGAGAATCCAGAGATAGTCTTCCTTGTCTTCTTTATATTCATGAAAAACATAAGTTGTTATTTTATATATTTTAAGCGTATCTTTTTATAAAAACAAGACCATGCTATGTATAGTGTTTAGAAATTTTCTTTTTAAAAAATATATCTCGGAGGGGCACTTGGCTGCTCAGTTGAAAGGGCATGCAGCTCTTGATCTCCAGGTTGTGAGTTCAAGCCCCACGTTGGGTGTAGAGATTACTAAAAATAAATAAATAAATAAATAAACAAACTTTAAAAAAGTAAGTAAAATAAATAAAAATAAAAAATATATCTTGGACACCTCTGAATCAATTAAGATGCATTAGGGAAGCTCATTGTTTAAGAGAGTTTATAATGAATCCTTATATAAAGCAAATAATTATTGTGTAAAACTTGCCTTCAGGTTTACATTTTAGATTAATCTGTGTTTTCATAAGTCAGGTTTCTGATTTGTCATTAAAACAAATTATGCCTGGGGTGCCGGGGTGGCTCAGTCAGTTAAGCGGCTGACACTTGATTTCGGCTCAGGTCATGATCTCAGGGTCCTGGGATCAAGCCCACATCAGGCTCTGCACTCAGTGGGGAGTCTGCTTGAGAATTTTCTCTCTCTCTCTCTCTCTCAAATAAATAAATCAATCTTTCTAAAAAATTAAAAAAATAAAACAACATACTCCCTCCTGCATGTTCTATGGAGGAGAGAAAATGCATTTAAGTATAATTTATACTTTTTAGTTTAAGTGTAATTTAATAAAATATCAATTCTTTATTTTCTTTTTCCAGCAAATTCTGCCCAGCTGGTTGTCGAGACATAGCAGGAGACATTTCTGGGAATCTGGTGGATGGATACAGAGATGTAAGTAATTGAGGGTAATTTTAGGGCAGGGAGGAAATTAAAAAGTGTTTGTTGCTCTGCCTAAACTCATCATAAAGTCAAGTCAAATAAGATCTAAAACCCCGGAGGTAAATGCACAATTCTCTCTTTTCTGAGAATAAATGAAATAATAGGTATAAAAACCAAGGTTATTCGTGCATGCATTCCTATTTTTAGCATTTCCACTTAAGCATGGTATAAGTGAAATGGTAAATAAAACCCTTTTCAACACCTATGGATATAATTCCATTTGTTTTTTTATAAGAGGTCATCTGTTTTTTGGTTTTTCTTTTTTTTTTTTTGTAATTTATTTCTGTATTTTAATGCTTCTGTTGGTTCATGTAATAGCCAAGGACATCACCATTCACATCAGAGAGTAACAACACCATGTCTGGGACCAGGGAAGCCAGCTGCCCTGCACTTATGTAACAGTTCTTCCTGCCTTGCACCCCCAGTTTCTTCTGCAGAATGAGACTCTCTGGTTGTATACATTGTTCCCAGAGAAAAATACATCACAAGAAGTCATTTGTCTAAAGTATATGTCCTGTCTCCAGATACACAGTCCTTCATTTCTTACTATTTGCAGATCTCAATCCCAGAAATTTGGTATCTGATCTTTGAATATTAACATTGCTGCTTAAAATAGTTGAGTTTCTAGCACATGAGAATTGGCTTGAGTTATTACAAATGTGAAAATCTGTATAGTGATGAAACTTTTCTAAGAGTTATTGACATGTGTCTTTGTGCATCCAAGAAAACAAACATGTTCCAGGAGGCTGATAATCTCCTCTCCAGCAAGGGGAAAACAAACTTGGCTTTAATTTTTGCTTTTAATACATCCTGATTGTGGAAGCAGCATATTTTGCAATTTTGCTCTTTGTTTCCTTTTTCATGTATTGTCTTTATTTACAACATTGACACAGGATATTCATTTGGCCTATAAATTGTTTGAATCTTAAAATGATTTATAATACCTGAATTTGAGATATACTTGGCACAAGCTATTTCTAAGTGACTTCAAGAAATTAACTAAGGGAAATAAACAGTTGAAGTATAGTTTTTCCCCCAGCAATAGAAAGTCTCTTTGTTATTTTTCCATCCCACGCAAGGAACTTAAAAATTATATGTAATAAGAGAGATAGCATCATTTTTTTTCTTACTTTAGTTGTTTATCGTGCTGCCTCTTGACAGAGCTCTGTGTTTTAGTACAACAGGTAAATAAATGGCTTCCTCCGTGGTAGATCTGAGTACGTGATCTGTAGGTGCTAGCACGCAGGTTTCCTATTTAACTTTGGCTGGTTTCATATCATTTGCTTTCAGAATGACTTTACCTGGGAGTCTGCTACTCCCTCTCTCTCTGCTACTCTCTCCCTCTCTCTCCCTGTCAAATAAATAAATACAAAATCTTAAAAAAAAGATAGCGGCCATGTTATTTGCTGATGAGTTTGTGGGTCAGCACTTTGCGCTGGTCAGTTCTTAATCTCCCTTGCCTAAAAGAGCTCCTGCAGTCATGTGGTGCATCAGGTGGGGCCAGAGGGTCGGAGGTGGCCATGATGACATGTGTGGCCGTTGGTTGGGCCGTGTCATCTGCAGCAGAACCGAGCAAGTTACGTGTTCCAGTGCAGTCAGTGGGAGGTACCTACATGGGGGCATGACCATCGGGAGGCATTATCCCTGGGGGGCCGCCACGACTGTAAGTTACCTACTTCCCTCTCTAGCGGATGGGTGCCCAAGTTGGCGTAAATGTGGTGACTCTGAAGTCATTTTGAGATAGTTATACAATAATTTTTTCCCCTCCTCTAAAACTTTCTATTTAAATGAATTATGGCGTAGCAATGTCATGGGTCAAACAGGGATCCTGACTGCATGTTATAACAAGATGGAAACCTCCCACCCTATTTTAAATGTTTTGTTTTTTTTTTTAAGATTTTTTATTTATTTGAGAGAGAGAATGAGAGACAGAGAGCACGAGAGGGAAGAGGGTCAGAGGGAGAAGCAGACCCCCCGCTGAGCGGGGAGCCCGATGTGGGACTCGATCCTGGGACTCCAGGATCATGACCTGAGCCGAAGGCAGTCGCTTAACCAACTGAGCCACCCAGGCGCCCCAATGCGTATTGCCATTTTGGGGAAGTAGAAAATTATTTAAATCAAACATCAGATTTTTTGAAGTCAAACTTAGGTTCAGAAGTGATTTTTTCATCTTTTAAATTTCATCTAGACTGGTATTTCTTTCTTTTTTTTTTTTTTTAAAGATTTTATTTATTTATTTGAGAGAGTGAGAATGAGAGAGAGCACATGAGAGGGAGGAGGGTCAGAGGGAGAAGCAGACTCCCTGCCGAGCAGGGAGCCCGATGCGGGACTCGATCCTGGGACTCCAGGATCATGACCTGAGCCGAAGGCAGTCGCTTAACCAACTGAGCCACCCAGGCGCCCTCCCACCCTATTTTAAATGTGTTCTGGAGTAACCGTGAGTGATGACGTTGCTGTATTTCAGACCTCGTTACTGTGCAAAGCCGCCATCCATGCAGGAATAATCGCAGACGAGTTGGGCGGTCAGATCAGCGTGCTTCAGCACAAAGGGCTAAGCCACTATGAAGGCATCCTGGCCAATGGTGTACTCTCAAGAGAGTAAGTACTTTGTCTTTTGTTCTGAGTGGCAGGTAACCTGAAAGGCATAATTTACCAGCTCATAATTTTGAAGGGACAGTGGGCATAGGATCCCAAGGGTTTGTCAGCTGGGAGGAATGTGTGTGAGTGCTCAAAGCAGCATTTACGGTGTCTTTGTGGAAGATCAATGCAGCAATAAAGAAGCTCACTGGTTATGCTGACAAGTGAATTAAAAGGGCACACATCAGAAGTTCTAGGGCAAAGGAATGTTTCTACTCTCAGGTGCTTTAGTAGGAGAAAATAAAGGCTGTTTTCAGTTCTTCCGGTTTTAGTAAATAATTGGTTATCTGCAATATTACCAAAGGTACTGAAGAAGACAGGGAACTAAAATAAGCCTCCATAGAACTACCAAGCTCCCCGGGAGATCCCTAGAGACAAGCTCTTAGTGATGAGTAATAGTTGGGAAGTGAAAAAAAAAAGAGGGCTTTTGTTAACATATACCTCTCTGTTTGCTGGTATCCTCTGCTCTTTCACCTTCTTGAGAAAAAAGTATGTCAATTGTTCAATTGTTTTAAACATTTCAACCTGAGCTTTTAATGCTTTTAGGTTTCCTCAGCTTCTGGAGTGGAAAATAAGAGCTGTTAGAACTAAATATAATCTCGCCTCATGGTCCAGGTGTCCACCCATAGAAACAGGCAGCTTGGAATGGGCCAGAGGGAGGCTTTCCTTGGGTGGAGGCCTTGTGAGAGAACGGTGATCCTCAAGCCACTGTGTTTATCTTCTGCTCCCTCCCTGCCTGCCCCAGAAATGTCTTCCTGCTATCGTGACCCTGGTTTTTTGGACAGGTTGTCACCATAGTCTTGGTCCCCAGAATATGGCACAAGACAGAGACTACAGGCATTTCAATTTCAGGATCCAAAAGTAGGAAAAAGGAGGTCAGGGCCTGTATCCTCTACCACTTCCCTGTCTGTGTGCAGATCACCGACCACCCCCGCTCCAGCCCCCCCCCCCCCCCCCATTTTGCTGTCGTCCCTGCTTATGTGCAGAAAGAACACGGTCATGTTTCCCTGCTCTGTTCTCCCAGGCAGTGTGGACCATCTCATCTGGTGAAAAAAAAACCACATAAGGGGGTTGATAGGTTCCCTAGTTAGCATAAATGTAGTGACTCTGATGTCATTTTGAGAAAGTTATACAGTAGTTTTTTTCCTTCCCCTTCTACTTTTTATCTAAATGTATTACAGCTTTGTTTAGCGATACTGTAGTTCAAATGGGGATTCTGACTCCAAGTTATAATATTGTTTTTTAGGAAAATGTATCTTAAGTTCCAAAGAACCGATTGATGAATTCATAGGTAAACTTAGGGACCAGTACCCATTTCTGGATTGAGGTGTTGGCTTAAGCTCACGGGAGAGGGGATTTCGAAGCAGTGGCTGAAGTTAGGGGTAGAAACTGGTTAGGTCACCTTCATGAAGAAGGCAAGCCTTGGGTTTGGTGGAAGGCAGGAACCAGGCATATGGGGACATGGGAGCAGAGTCAAGGCTCAGAGAGGGACACGAAAGGAGTCGTGGCAGTCAGCACACCAGGCTCACGTCCAGGGCCCTGGCTGGTGGGTGGCTGAGGGAAAAGGCAGAGCTCCCACCGGCAATTCTGAGTCGGGGGCTGCGGGGGGGGGGGGGTAACTGGAGAGGGTATTCCAGTCCAAGTCTTTTACAAGCCACCCAGTGATGCTGTATGTAATCTACAGAAGGCAGTCATCCACTAAGGATTGGGTGCAGGCTGCACTCTGATGGGCGGGCTCTCCGCTCTGTCTTTGTGTTCTCTGCTTGCTATAGAGAGGACTCCCCTCTACTTTCCCCCTGGATAGGACTTTTAGCTTTGAGAGGCCCCAAAGTGTTCTTTTCCTATTGTGTGACCAAAGACAAATCGGTCCCAAATTTAAGATCTAAATGCCTAGTAGCAGAGTACCTTTAGAAAGTAAAATCCTTACTCAAATAAATAAAATTTATATATTTGTGTATTATAAATTCATTTTATATACACATGCATGTATGTTATACATACATGTATGCATGTACATATATGTACTATATATAAAGAAACATGCATGCATTATATATGCCTATATACACACATATGTTTGTACATATATTTTTTCACTTATGTATTTGCCTCAAGGTTTGTGGAACATAAATATTATATCCTGATTTATAATAAAAGTGATTGCTTATACACAGTAAGCTGTGTCGGCTTGACCTTGACTTTTGAGGATCTGTTTCTGTTTACATTTTTTATGGTCTAATATATTGACACCAGGGCACTATTTCAGAAAGATGCCATGCTGTGGCCTAGATTTGTTGGGAGCCACATCTCCAGATAGGAACAAAGAATTGGCCTCTGGTTTTAAATCTGTTTTTTGGAATCTCTTGCCTATGTTTGTATACATTTCAGTGCTTCTTTTGTAGAAAAAAAGGACCGTAGAAAGTTGAACTTGTACTATGAGGATTTTATTTTACTTTTGAAAAAAAAATTATTTAAACTACTTGAAGAGAAGTAGACACGTTCTCAATTACTTCTGGGCTTGATACAGATGAAGTCTCTTTATGTAAGCCAATATTAAACGTTCATGCAGAGTCCAGAAATCTCAACCACGAATGAATCAGGAAGAGTTTTGCTCCACATTCCATGTAGTTATTTGAACAAACTGTTCGATTTTTGTTTTGGTAAGAAGAGAAAGTCCAGGTTTATATCAAGGTCCCTTCTTCCTTCTAGCTCTGATTTTGCTCTGGCTTTTTGTCCTGAGCAGAGAAAAGTGAACTACATGCGGACACATGTCTTCCACTCCTCCTGACTCCCAAGTCTTCAGGGGGCAGTTGTTTTTCTCTGTGCCCGTGTGCTGCTGGGGAAGCAGTGTGCATGTGGTCATTGAACTTGTGTTCCCACGCATGATTGTTTGGTGTTCAGGAAAAAGCTCTGCCACTGAGGAAGAAGGAGTCCCTAAAGTAAATATCTAGGGTTCTTCTGGGATTCATCCGGGTCGGGTCACTTCCTTGATTTGAGGAGACCAGAATGGAATCAGGAAGAGAGGCTGACCTCAGACCAAGGGTGAAGGCTCACACCACCAGCAGCGAAGGCTTTGCTTTTTCAGTTGACATCAGCCTCTTCTTGATGGCTTCTCGAGCCCCCGGGGAAGGCCAGCAATTCCAGGCATCTGATTGAATGCATTCACCCTGACGTGTGACTGCCTCAGAACCCCAGCCTCCTGGAGGGTTTTCGTTTTTAGGAGAGGAGGCTCATTTACCAATAGAATTCTCCCAGTGGTTGTATTTAGTTTAATAGAGTGCAATGGAAAAATGTATCGCAGCTGATCACGGGCGAAGAGCCAGGCAGAGAGCCATTGGGAGGAGAGCCTCCCCTGGCGGTGTCTTCCCAGGGTTAACGCCACAGTTACCCTTCTTGTCCTAACTTCTCTTTTTCAACAAAAACAAAATAAATATTTTAGTGTCTCATGGCAGCGGGAGCGAATTGAGGCCCTCCGAGTTGCCACGATATCAGGTGCTTTATTTGGGCAAAATTTCAAGTGTAATACTTAGTGCAGGAATGTTAGGAAAAAAATGGAAAAAGCAGTCAAATAGAGGCTCTAAGTAAATTAATAGAACTTGGAATGTGAACCACGTGCACCTTTCTTTAGAAGTTAGGAGAGCTGCATCTTGACCCCGGCTTTGGCACGAACTGTGAATTTCGGCAAGCGGGTCCGCATCTTCATGTGAGAAATGATGGGTGCCTGCCTTGTATTCAGTGCAGCGGGTATAACAGAACCTTTATGTGGAATGGCAGGGCTGTGGAGTCTCCGCTCGAGAGTGGACAAAGAATATGAATGAAAAGGTCCATTCCGGGGACTTGGACCACCTGGTACTTCTAAGCAATGGTCCCAGAGCTTTGCTGGGAAGGTTCTTAGACTCTTGTCCAGACTCTTGTCCAGACTCTTTCTGGGTTTTCTGTGGATTTCACCATTCAGTACTCTCTCTGTCCATGGTTGCTGGTTGTAATTCAGAGTTAAACATTTAAGTAACAAGCAGTCCTCTCAGATTGTAAAGTAATTGCACACAACAGTGGCATCTAACTCTTCGTGCGTTTCTCGAGTATCAGTATACTGAGTACTATGCATGCAAGATTCATCTTGAGAACTTCAAATTTTCTACATAGTTTCACACTGTTGAGTTGGTGAGGGACTTACAAAAAGGTAAATACAGCCTTGGGCCTTCGGGATCTCTTCTCCACGGAAGGAGACATCTGCAGAGTGAGGTCGATATGATGTTTGCCTCTGGGTGCACCACAAACTGTAGAAATCCTAGAGTCCACAGGCCCCGGGGTTAATGCCAGCTCAGCAGTAGGACTGTCCCGCAGCCGCGAGGCCCAGCTCAGGCCGGTCAGTGAGATGCTTTGAGTTTTCTCCCGCTGCACCTTGTCATCCAGAGGGAGGGTGGTTCATGGCTGTAGGGAGGAGTGTGACTGGGTGGTGTTAGTAACGTTGCTTCCCTTCAGTGGTCCTGAGTTTCTCTATAAAAGGCCAGTGATGAAGATGGTAAGAGCCTTGCTGGGGTGCGGTGAGGACCCCGTGAGGTGCGGGAAGGCTCCATGACGCCTGGGCTGTGGTGCTGTGTCCATCGTTGTGATCCAGGTAAGCAGCTCACCTCCTGTTTGTGTTTATCATTGCAGCGGTTCCCTGTCCGACAAGCGATTTCTCTTTACCTCCAACGGTAAGGATCCAGCTTTCTTTAAGAATTTGATATTTTAGGGGGCGCCTGGGTGGCTCAGTCGTTGAGCGTCTGCCTTCGGCTCAGGTCATGATCCCAGCGTCCTGGGATCAAGCCCCGCATCGGGCTCCCTGCTTGGCCGGGAGCCTGCTTCTCCCTCTCCCGCTCCCCCTGCTTGTGTTCCCTCTCTCGCTGTGCCTCTCTGTCGAATAAATAAAAAACATCTTTTAAAAAAAAGAATTTGATATTTTAACGTCTTCAGTGGTGGTTTATTCTCCCATCCCCCTCCCGCGCTATAGTTTAAGGGTTTTGTTTTCCTCCCCCACAGGTCCCACAGCACCAAGTGCGTTGTAACTTAAAAATACCGAGACAGGAACTCAATTAGCACGAAGTACAGAATAACCTTTCTCTGTAATCGAAGCTCTCTCACACTTTTGCCCAAAAAACGATGAAAATGCAAAATGCCACTTAGGTTAAGATAAAATTCCTTTCTGTTAGATTTTAGTAGGCAAAGCTTTTAAATATTACAGTTTGATTTGTGGTTATCTTGAATAAAGTGCCTGAACACGAGTGTGTGAAATAGGGCTTCTTAGCCCCTCCCTCATGGAATATATTCTGTGTAAATATTCTCTCAGCATAAAGTAAAATATTTCCAGACAACAATATGCATATGTCTTTGTCCAGGAGAGGAGGGTGGCCTTTATTTGCCAGCCTCCACATTGTCTTGGACATGACAATGATGATGTTGAGTACAATTTACTGATCTTCAGAGCACCCGGATGTCCGTCCTCTTCAAGGACACAGACAGTAGAGTCCTCTCTGATCAAGTGAGAAGAACCTTCAGCTTTTGAAACACATTTAAGACACGTTGTACTTTGCTGAAATGAGGGTGAATTTAGAAGTCTAGGAAGGAAAATCTACAGTAGGAACAGAGAGACGTCATTTATAGGGGATGCGACTTCAGTGAGGTCCATTACAAAGAAAAGCAGCAGTTGCAAGGGACCACGGTACAAGTGAGTCAGATGAAAAGTCTGGGCCATTAAAAAACTAATAAACAGTTGATTTGATATCAGAATGGAAGTAAATCAACTGAATAATTCTAGTTGAAATGGAGTACTTTTTTTTGCTTTCATTTTGTGTTTATATCTGAAACACTTTCTTGGCCTTTTTTTTTTTTTTTAGGTTGCAGCAGATCATTGAGTTTGGAACCTGACACACAGATCAGAGCTTCTTGGCAGTGGGTCAGTGAGATGGGAGAACAAGTTCACTGGTCTCCTGGCCAAGCCCAAGTTCAGGGCCAAGACCTGTCATGGGCTTCGGGGGACAGTGGCAAGAACCGTAAACAGCGCGAGTGGCTGGAGACCGATTTGGGAGAGAAAAAGAAAATAACGGGTACAGTTTCACAAATGCAAAACGACGGGCAGTTGAAATTATGTTTCTGAGCTACATAGGCACCTCTTTCTCTACCTCAAAGTATTCTGTGTCTTTTCTAAAAGTAACAAGGCTTCGCATTGTCTTGATGGGAAGAACCTGTGTGCAGATTCTAAGTGTGGCTATAAGGAGTAGATGAAACCTTTTTTTTTTTTTTAAAGATTTTATTTATTCATTTGACAGAGAGAGAGAGCACAAGCAGGGGTAACAGCAGAGGGAGAGGGAGAAGCCGACTCCCCGCTGAGCGGGGAGCCCAGTGTGTGGCTTGATCCCAGGACCCTGGGATCATGACCTGGGCCGAAGGCAGATGCTTAATGGACTGAGCCACCCGGGCACCCTAGAAGAAACCTTTTTATGGCATGTTGTCAGTGTGGAAACACTCAGCTGTGGTCAGGTTTCAAAATGCAAATAAGAAAAATTGGCCTGCAAAATGATTTAAGATTTCAAGTGAGAAAAAAAAAAAAAGAAAAGAAAAAAAAAAAGAAAGAAAAGAAAAATTGTAATACATGCTATATTGTAAAATCTAACCTATCAATAATATTTTCTTACAAGGAATTATGACCACAGGATCCGCACAGTCGAATTTCAACTTTTATGTTAAGAGTTTCGTGATGAAGTTCAAAAACAGCAACTCCAAGTGGAGGACCTATAAAGGAATTGCGAGTAATAAAGAAAAGGTAAGAGAAACTTGAGAGGAAAGAACTGAGTGGGAGAGTGGGTCTCCAGATGTTTTTATCAGTGTGTTTCCAGAAAACAGATCTGCAGCACCACCCTAGTTAGGTCACGCAGTCTTTGTTGGCAAAGCCTTGCGTCTGCACTACCAAGCGTGTCTGCAGAACCGCCACAGACCTAGGTTCCTGGCTCTGGTGTCCTACAGCCAGGTAGGAGTAGGGTGAGAAAGACGGATGCGCTAACCACTAGCCTCTTCAGGTCAAAGTTATTTGATTCTACAGGTGTTTCAGGGCAACTCTAATTTTCGGGATCCAGTGAGGAATAATTTCATCCCTCCCATCGTGGCCAGATACGTGCGGGTTGTCCCCCAGACATGGCACCAGAGGATAGCCTTGAAAGTGGAGCTCTTTGGCTGCCAGGTCACACAAGGCAAGTCAGCGAGTTCCTCGGTTTGGATGGTGCCCTTTGACAGATAGTTGTTACTAATGTGGTTCTTCCAACCTCTTCTCTGCCTCAGGTAATGAGTCGTTGGTGTTGCATAAAACAAGTCCAAATACTATCGGTTCCACTGAAAGAGAAGATGAGACGATCACAAAATCTGTCCCCTCTCCAGAAATGCCCACAGGTAGAGCAGTTCCTTTTTTGTAGTTTCCTCAGGAGCATAACTGGACTCCGTGTGATTATTACAGTAGCTTCAACAAAAACTTTTTTCTCTGTCGTATGAATGTCCGGAGTCCGATGGCTCTGTGTGTAAAATGATGTATCTCCACAACTCTTTGGTGCAATATTGTAAGTAGAGAAAGTAGTATTTGCCCTTCAAACACCAGGTAAAGATTTTATGGAAAAATAATAGCACCTCCATACAATGGAATACTCTGCAGCCATGAAAAATAAATGTGTTTAGTAATGGAGGAAGCTAGAGACAGAGACAAACTTAAAATACGCAAAGGACGGGACAGTCCATATAGCACTCTATCATGTGTGCAAAAAAGGGGATAAAGAGGGGCGCCTGGGTGGCTCAGTCGTTAAGCGTCTGCCTTCAGCTCAGGTCATGATCCCAGGGTCCTGGGATCGAGTCCCACATCGGGCTCCCTGCTCAGCAGGGAGTCTGTTTCTCCCTCTCCCTCTGACCCTCTGCCCGCTTGTGCTCACTCTCTCTCTCTCTCAAATAAATTTTTTTTAAAAAAAAGGCACTAAAGAATGAATATATAGAGATAATCATTCTAATGTCTCTGGAAGAATGTCAAGAAACATAATTTGGCTTCCCATAGAGGAGGATCAGAGGCAGGAGGGAGACTTGTATACTTTTTGAAGTTTGAATGTGTAAATATATAATCTATTCAAGTAATAAACATTAAAAGTCATTTATTTTTTCAGAATATAAGATGATTTGTGTATTAGTTTTATAAAATTCAGAAAGATTAGAGATCTATAAATATGAAAATAAAAATAAGCCATAAATTAGCATCCACAGGTAATCACCATATTCCACTGTATCCAATCAACTATATTTATCTATAACTTTGAGAAAAAATGGTAGCATTCCACATACTTTGTTCTGTAGCATATATTTTTTCTCTTAACATTGGATCATGAGCATCTTCCCGTGTTATTAAGCAGTTGAAAAACACAGTTGCTAATACCTTTATAGTATTTTTTCATATGGATATACCATCACTTAGTTAACCATTCCCCTATTGTTGGATGTTTAAGTTCTTAGATTTTTCCCAAATCTCCACTCTGGTAAATAACACCGCTGTTGTTTACGACTTTTGTTCCTTTTGAAGGTCCTTATATGGCCCCCCCCCCGCCATTTCATGAACTACACATTTCCACTCCTGATCATCCCTTTGTTTTCTTCTCAGGGATCACAGATAAAGGGTGAAGAACAAATATTTCTCTTTTAGTTTCCATAGTGTCTCCAAGTGGGGCCTCCTTCAGTAGCTGTTAAAGTGACTTCCTTTTTTGAAGTAAGAAGACACGGTATTCCGTGGGCAGAGTGGAAATGCTGTCTGAAGTCATCAGTCTGCATTTCCTCTCAGCCCTCCGCTCCAGAGCCCTGGTAACGGGAAGCCCAGGGCTCTTCTCCCCTTCCGCCCCACCCCCCAGCTCCTGTTATTGTTCACGTGCAAAGCCTCCCACCATCTGGGGGAACTGGTTCCTTGAGCTGATTACCTCCGGGCCAGCTGGGTGGGCCAGCTTGAAACCTCCCCCGCCCAGTTCTGATTTTGGAGTCTAATGTTGTCCAAACAACAAGCTCAGAGTAGGTGTCAATCCCTGAGGACCATCAAAAATTGCCTTTTTGGAAAATAAAAGAAAATTTATTTTCCTAAACCTCAGCCAGGATTTTGAATCCCCTCTGTTTGCTTTCTGATATCAGGAAATGCCTAGCACATACTCATTTTCCCCATATATTAAACTGTTGAAGACCCTTCAAATCAGTGTTGAGTTTTAGATTGTGAACTTGGGCTGCAGCTCATTTCTGTTGTAATGTGGCGGCTTCCCCCTTCCCAGGAATAAACATCACAGCTGTTGCTATTCCGCTGGTGCTCCTTGCCGTGCTGCTTGCTGGAATGGGAATCTTTGCAGCCCTCAGAAAGTATGTGACTTGACATTTTTAAGTTTCTTCTCTATGCAAATAATCACAAAACCAAAATGTTTGCTTTCCAGATACTCATGTGTAGAAAAGCAGCATTACTTTGGCCAAGATAAAATGTTAATATATGTTTTAAGAACAAGTTGGGTAGGGGTAGAAAGTATAATGTATTCTTCTCTAAACAACATTTATCACTTAGAAACCTTTTCAAGTAGGATTCTTTTGTCTCTGTAGGAGGAAGAAGAAAGGAAATCCATATGGATCAGCTAAGGCCCAGAAAACAGGTTGGTTTACAGAAAACTCTATCTACGGTTTTATTCTGTCTTACAGAAGGGACAGGTCTGCTGATTAAAAGCATGATTAGGTCTGTGGCCCACACTTACATGGTTAAAAAAATAAGCTCTATAGCCTTTAAGGTAGCAAGCCTAAAAGAAATGGAATATTGTGTCCTATCTCCTTATTTCAATTGGGAGTTTTCATGGCCAGTTACTTTTACTTTTGTTCAGCATTATCCCATCATTTATCAACATTCAGGGTTTTTGGCCATTGGAGTTTAGGCCACCCCAATGCCTGTCACCCAGGAGAAGTTATAAAAGCCCCATTTTCACAAAGTACGTTGTCCAGCACACTCTGCAACTCCAGGCTTCCACAGTATTTCCCATTCTGGGAAAGTGAAGGAAGAACCAGGCAGGGTTCAGGTTCAGGTTGCAGAGAATCCTTAGGACTACACGATGCCCGTGCGATGAGTCAGCCGCGGTCCAGAGAGAGGGCAGCAGGGCAGGACCCCTCAGAATCTTAGGGGCACTTTGGGACACCCCCTCTGCAGGGTCTCAAGAGCCGGATGTGTTGACTCCTGAGACACGAGTGTCGCGTCTGTGCAGATGACGGGAAACCATGCCTCCCACGTGTGTAACATAGGGATAATCTGGGACGTGAGGGGTACACAGATACATAGCAAAGGCAAGTGGAAAGCGTGGCCGGAATGCTGTCCGTTGTTGTTGTAACGACACAGCATGCTGTTTCTACCACATGTATCTGAGGAGCCGTGGCCATGCACTTACACATAAGGTTAGCCGGCAGGAGGCGGTCTGACCCCCGACTTGTCGAGAAACACATCATGGACAATGTGTGTTACACTTCTGAGATATTAGTTTCCTGTTATCTTTATTCCAGACTGTTGGAAGCAGATCAAATATCCCTTTGCCAGACATCAGTCTGCTGAGTTCACCATCAGCTATGATAATGAAAAGGAAATGACGCAAAAGTTAGATCTCATCACAAGTGATATGGCAGGTAAGGGTTAAGCCTCTGGGACGGTGCTCTGGGGTCAGACGTGCTGCTTCTGGGAGCGGGGAGACCAGGAGGGAAATAAGATGAAAACCCTTGTGTTTAGATGAGGCCCAATAAGTCAGTAATGTGTATAGTCTTCTTTCTTAACTCTGCACAGAGTTGCAAACGGACACTGAGATCTCTCTCAAAAGCCCATTCAGACAAGGCCAATACACCAACAGGAGCTAGAGCAGAACTATAACAATGGCCCCTGAGGTACCACGAGAATCTGGAAGCCCTGAATTAATCTGTTACTAAGGTTTTGGTGAAGACACTAAGAAAGAGGGCCTGGAAAGCACAGTTCCTGGCCTTGTGGAAGACGAGCTAGGAGATGAACGATGCCGTCCAGTGTTAGAATGGCCTCTGAGGCCGGATTAGCCATTCCTGAGAGTCAAGCTTCTCAAACTGTCCTTGGGGAAGGATCCATTTTGTTGTTTGCCTTTTAAAAAATTATTTCTAATCCATCAAGAACTAATACTTTTGTAAAATACAATTCACGTGACCCTTGAACAACAAGGGGGTTAGGGATGCCGCCCCCCTGCGCAGTCAAAAATCCATGTATAACTTCTGACTCCCCCAAAACTTAACTGCTCATAGCTTATTGCTGACCAGAACAACCTACTGTTGACTCCATCCTTACAAATAACATAAACAGTTAACACACACTTTGTATGTTATATGCATTATATATTGTATTCTTACAATAAAGTGAGAGAAAATGTTATTAAGAAAATCATAGAGGAAAATACATTTCCAGTACTACGCTGTATTGGAAAAAAATCCGCCTATAAGTGGACACACACAGTTCAAACCCCTGTTGTTCAGGGTCCACTGTAAAAATGAGGAGCAATAATGACATTTTAAAAAAGATATACAAAATACAAAGCTCTAAGCCTTTTATTAGGCTCAGTGGACATAAAGGTACTCTCAAATTGCCGTGAGTTTCTAAACACTTGCTCTGAATTTGTGTACTTGTCTTTTTGCAGACCTGTCTCGGTTCTCAGATATGTAGGCATCTGCAGACCGCACTCCCTGAGGAGCACTGCTTAGCTTCTCGCTACCCATAGTGCATTCTGAGGGCCAGCAGCATCAGGGAGCTTGCCAGAAATGCGGGCTTTCAGGCCATGCCCCAGGCCTACCGACCCAGAAGTTCCCAGGTGGTGCGTGTGTGTATCAAAGTCAGAAAGCTACCAGTGGAAAGCTTGCTTGAGCCACTTCAGGGCAAAGAGAGCATCTCTCGCCACAAAATCCATCTTCTTATTCCTTCATCCCCGGTCCCCGACAATTCTAGTGCTACCCTGTAGATAGAACAAGGGGAGGAAAGACCCCCTTCTCTGTCCTCTTCCTTTCATTGTTCTTTAGCTTCTGGTGCAGCCTGTTGCCCTCCCCCACTGTGTGGTCCTTCTTGGGCACCTTGACTGTGTGAGCCCCTGAGTCTCGCTCTTCCCCTCACTTAGCCACAGTCTCTCTCTTCAGCAGTCTCACCACCCCCAACCCCCCCCCCCCCACCGCCGCCGGCTTCAGAGCTCCCAATAGAGAGCCCTTCCTTGCATTTTTGTCTCCTCAGTCGCTAAGCCCAGACTTCCCTCGCTTTCCCCAAGAAGTGAGTAATTCTCACCTGCTGGACGCCTCTACCTGCGATGCGAGTGCCACCAGTTCCTCAGTGGGCCCAAAATTGAACCCCTTGTTCCCAACCCTCCCCACGACTGCTCCATACGTTCTCTTCCCAGTGGCTTCCCAACTGTGTATCCCAGGCTTCTGGGCTTAACACCTGGGAAGGGGCCTTGGCTGCCCTCTTTCCTCACGCCCCACATTGCTGGTAATACATTTCTCTGAGTCATGTCTCCAAAGGGTGGCCTTTCCAAGGCTGCTGCCAGACCCCTAGTGTGTGACTTACACTTTTCCTTTTTTTCTCATTTTTTGATCTTTCCTTCTTCAGTCGGCTTCCAGGTTACCTCTACCTGTGCCAGTCTCTTCTTTAGAATCCTCAGTAGTTTCTACAGAAGTAGGCCAAACTTGCTAGCAAGGCACTGGCACTCTATGAAGGAGCCTACGGTTAACAGCATACACCTGCAACCTGAGTTCGACCTCTGGCTCCACTGGCTGCCAGCTGGGTGATCTTGGAGATGTTATCTCAACCTGCTTCCGTTTTCCGTTTGTCAAATGGAGTAATAGTCACTACCTCTTCTTTGTACTTTTTTTGAGGATTTCACTGATAATATGTTAGGCTAATGCCTGGCACAGAGTAAGGACTCAATAAGTGGGAGCTTTATCGTTACCCTCGCCATTATCATTAGTCCCCAACCTACTATTTTGGTCTTCGTATTCCATTAAACTACGCCATGTCCCTCATACTCTGGCCACATCAAACTCCGACTCTTCCCAAGGTTTTTAAGAGGTTGTTGAATCACCGTTCCCGTTCCACCTCCCAAATCTGGCATCTCAGGAGCCAGTTTGAGAGCTCCATGCGGTGTTTTCCCCTTACCCCGCAGGTGTGGGGAAGTGTCATCTCTGCCTTCTCTAGGCTCCCGCGCTGCGCTGAGGCTTCCTAACGCACGAGTTCGGTTGTGTAAGCCCCTGGGTGTGGCACCTCCGCCTTTCACACCTCGGGCTCCCTCACCCTGCCTGCTGCATCGCAGGCACTCAGCCGAGTTGGCTCCGCAGAGCACCCCTCTCCGCAAACAGCCGGCTTGCCCGGGCGTCCGTGTGGCACACACACGGTGCGTCTCCTGCGCTTCTGATTTCAGATTACCAGCCGCCGCTCATGATTGGCACCGGGACCGTGACCAGGAAGGGCTCCACCTTCCGCCCGATGGACACCGAGGCGGACGAAGCCGCGCCGAGCGCCGAGGCCGGCAGCCACTACGACTGCCCCCTGCCGGCCGGCCGCCACGAGTACGCCCTGCCCTTGACCCACCCCGAGCCCGAGTACGCCACGCCCATCGTGGAGCGGCACGCGGCGCGGGCGCACGCCTTCTCGGCGCAGGGCGGCTACCGCGCGCCGGGGCCCGGGCCGGCGCACGCGCAAACGCACACGCACGCGCACGCGCTCCCGGCCGGCGGCGCGTCGTACCAGACGCCGCCGCGCCCCGCGCCCGCGGCCCGGCGTCCGGGCTACGATCAGCCGACAGCCGGCGGCCCGGTCGCGGAGCGCGTCCACCCCGACTACCAGGAGCCGCGGGCGAAGCCGGCCGCCAGCGCCGCCTACGCGGCCCCCCGAGACTGCCTCCAACCCCTCAGCCCCACAGCCATGACTGCTCTCTTGTGAGCACACTGTGAAAGCAACCTGCTGCGGTACCGGGCGGCGGGCTGTGCGCGGCCCTGGAAGACGGGAGATGGGGTCAAGTGTGCGTGTGTGCGCGCGCGCGCGCGTGTGTGTGTCGGTGTGCGCATGGGTGTGCCTGAGATTTCATAGGATCCTGCGGTGGAGTCCTAGGGACCACCTCACCTACTGTTTACAAAGTAGTGCATCTGGTTTTGTTCTGACCCTTAGGGCAAGAGTCTGTTGGGTTTTGTTGGGCTAGGAAAATGAAAATTCTCAGAGGGCATTTTCATTTCTCTAACTGTGATATTGAGCTGCTTTGGTATAAAATGTGCAATCTGTACAGAGTTGTATTTAACATGAATTAAAGTAACTTAAGTTCGCTTTATCAGATTTTACTTCTGCACAGAGGCTAAGTGGGAGAATGCAGCTGTTGCAAAAACGTGTATAATAGTATGTTCACCTTGAAGTCTATTTTATCTGATACTGTGTTCGCAGCAGGTCTGTTTAAACTTAATCTTGTTATTGTGGCTCATTTCCTTTCCTTTGATAACTAGAACTAAAAGCATTGCTAACATTCTTCTGGAAGGAATGAAATTACTTGAAGCATGAGAAACACACCAGGGTGGTTGTTAGCAATTATGATTGTAGATTAAGACAAAACACAGTACCACACAACCACCTCAGCAGCTGCCTGTTCCTGACTCCACTTGGGATGGGATGTGCGGTGGCCTGTCAGGGCGCCCGCGGAGCAGGAGGTTCCTGCGGGCGCAGGGGGCCTCCCTGCCTGAGGGGCCTTCATCCCACTTTGCTTCCTCCTCACCTCGGGCCCAGCAGATACTGTATGGCTTTCCCAGGCAAATCCACCTTTTCAAACTGTCTGCAAAGCCAAGTGCTGAGACGTAGCAGCAACCAAAACTGCTCTCCCAACAAACTGAATGAAGGTGGCACAGTGACTACAGTCTGAATTACTGTGTCAGATGCTTTTGTACCTAATTAAAAATATTGCTGAGGTCAGATGCCCACACTTTGCATGACTTTCTTCAGAAAATAACACATTGTAACTATGAAACGCAAAGTTATTTGAGGTGTGTTCTTACAAAAGGGACCGAGGCCAAATCTACATAAAGCTTTTTTCTTCTGAGATGGTTGGGAACTGATTTTGTTTCTTACAAAATCATTGTTGTCTCTAATTCCAGATTAGCCCAGACCTCAGCTGTACCTCATGTTCAGTGCTTTTAATCTGTTTGCTTTGAGTTCACTGTGGACGATTTGCCCTCTTTTGCCAATGAGGAAAGTGTGTGTTTAACAAAAAATGTGGACCAAAAAAATCCTTTACCTAAAAAATGTATTGTGATTCTGTTTGTAGAACTATGACTTTCTGTGAAACTATAAATATTAAAATAGGGTGTTGGAAGTTGACAGACTTTTTGGGTATTTTAGAGGATAAACCGTTTACTTTGTGGAGTTTACGTGGTTTTATATGCATACTAATTGTAATAATAAACTATGCCAAATCACAGTGCCCCTGCCTCTCACTGGTGTCCTGCTGGCCAGGCTGTTGAAGGCCTCTGAGGCTGAGCCTTCCTAAAAGGGCAAGTGATTACAGTGGAAAGAGCTGGGTTTGTTGTCAGACAGGTCTTGGTTCCAGACCCTGACCAGCCGCACAGTAGCTGAGGGATCTTGAGCCAGTTATTTTGGAAATAAATGAAGACCGACCAAGCAAGTGAAGTCTCTTCAAGCTTGCTATAGCAAGGGAGTCTGCCACCATCACTTGCATTTTGGCAGAGAGAGGCCAAAGGGCAGCAGAGGGCTGGAAAGCTTCATGGTGGAATAGGAGGGAGGGCTGCAGGTGTGCCTTGATTGGAGGCTGTTGGCCTGGGGAAACTGTAGGATGGATTAACTAGATAACTGGTTAGGGATCCATATCTGGCTTTCTCTGCTTAGCCGTAGGTTGGAAGTGGAGACAGAAATTAGAGAAGCTATCAGTTAGTACTCAAATCTTAGTGATTTGGAGTTGACTGTAGCAGACATTCTTACTTCCTGGTCTGACTTCTGCAAGCCTGACTTCTAGCACGGGCTGGCTTTCTGGGCTGGTTCCTGTGGATAATGGGTTGCTTTCCTGCGCTTACTGCTGTGGGTTTGTAAATCAGAGTTCTGTTTTTATATTTGGTCTGTCCGTTATCCATTTGTATATTCAGTCTGTCGTCTCTAACCCTTAGCCTCAGTTTCTTCTTGTGTAAAAATGATGTTAAGCGCCTTCCTCTAAGGCTTACAAGTTAAGAATTAATTGGGACAACATTTATCAAAGTTTCTGTTCTATAATTGGCTGTTTGTCTAATCCAGGCCCTCGGTGGGCTGCATGTTGCCTTCTAACATTAAAGTATTAGTCCACAGGAATAGACTTGTTAACCGTGAATTAAAGTTATTTTCATCCATCACATTTCTTCCCCGTACTCATGATCTAATCATGACAGAGAGGAGAACAGGACTTTGTTTTGGACCAGCACTTCCCCAGGGTGGCCTCACTGTGTAGACGGGGTGGTTGAGTGGAAAGGTCTGATAAAACCCTACACTGCCAAGCCCAAATTAGAGGATAAGAGCGGAAAATACTATGCCTTTTTCAGTGTTTTGCAACATTAGCACATGTGATAAGGTGAGAATGAGATCATTGTAATTGTCTGGTGTCTTCTATGTTATCAAGTCCTATTGGGAGGCTTTGCATTCTGTCACTTCTCACAGTTGTGGCTGCAACACATCTTCTCTGACAAGCAAGACTACACTGGCCACAGAAGCTGCTGAAACTGCTCTGGGTTTTGTTTCTATTTAAAATTTTATTAATATTTGTAATCAGCCTAGAAAACATCTAGAAAGGATATGATCTGTTTATTACACTTGCTTTCGAATCTTAGCAGAAAATGAAATCAGTTATGTCATAGACACAACTAGAGTCACCATGATAGCCTTTCATAACTACATCCCCGCGAGGCCTTTTAGAAATACATCAGTTTGGCAGTCCCAGTGCAGGAACCGGGTTGGTCTCACTTTTCTCAAAATGCCTTTCTCTCATTCATTCGTGCACCAAATAGTTGCTAAGCTTCTGAGAGCAATGTTCACCCTGTACTTCCTTGAAAGAGCATGCCTAAGCTCGCTGGGACCTTGGAACAGTTGAGGCTGCGAATCGAGGCTAGGGCTGAGTACAGTCGTGCTAGTGGTCCTTGCCCCAAACAGAGCAGTCCAGCCCCGCCCAGGCCCCCTCCCCAGCGCTCTGCCTGCACCACACCACTGTTTACCACCCACCCGCCCAGATCGCTCCTCTCCTACCCCAGGTCTCTCCCAGCTCTCCCTCTTCTAGGAATAAATTCACCTAGAGGCTGGTAAAGATGTCTGCTCTGCCTGTGGTGTGCCTGTGGACTGTGAATTCTGTGAGTTCATTTGTATTCATGTTACTTGCGACCAACTCCTGCATCTTGAACCCTAGGATTCCTCTTTCTCCACGGTGACAGATTCTCAGCCATCCTGTTTTGCACTAACTACTTGCCTCTTCTGTTTTCTTTATTCACTCCTGGAATTCCTAGTGCATGTTCATTGGACCTCCTCCTTCCATTTCCATCCCTGTCTCTTAGTCCCTCTTATTTATCATCTCTTTTATCTACCTGTGCTGAGTTCTGGCTAAACTCCCGAGAGACAATATGACACAGTGGTTGGGTGCATAGACTTGAGATTGTCCGGAGGAGAAGCCGTCACCTCTCTGCGCCCATTTCCTTGCTTGTTCTGTGGGGAGGAACAATACTATCCACCTGCCTATGCCTGGTGTGAAGATTAGCGGAAGCTTCTCAAGCATTGCCGGGCCCACGTGAAACACTGTATAAGATTCCGTATCATACTCCAGTTTACCAATTCCATCTTCTGTCGCATCTGCTGAATCGAACCACTGAGGTTTTCATTTCAGTTTCTAAAACATGTCTAGGTCTGTGGGTTCTTTTTCAAATCTGCCCTTTTTTACACTGTCTCGGCATCTTCTTGGGCTTTGATTCCTTCTTTTAATCATTTTATATTCTCTTTCTGATTGTCCTGTTCTCTTCATCTCATTTGGAGCAGGAGCCGCTGTGCTGTGATTTCTAAGGCTCTGGCCGCGCTGTTCATCGAACTTCTGCCGTGAGAGCGACATCGTCTGAGTTGCTCAGCGCGGCACTCGTTACTTACACGTGGCTGTCAAGCGCTGGAATGTGGCTGGACTGCCTGAGGAACACATTTTTTATTTTACTGAACTTTATTTATTTAAAAGTAAACAGCCACCTGGGGCTGCTGGCTCCTGTACTAGACGAGGGCAAATCTGTGATCTGCCCCCCTCCATCATGGGTCACCCCTCAGACCTCTGTTCACCCCACTCCAGCCACATAAGCCTCTGGGCTGTCGCTTGAACCTGCCGGGGACACACCCATCCTGAAACCTTTGGGCTGGCTGCTCTCTCTTCCTAGAAAGTTCCTCCCCCAGATCTGTAGGGCTCCTGCTTTCACTTCCTTCAAGTCTACACTCAATCTCCAGGAGGTCTTCCTTCCTCTCCCTGTCTGAAAAAGAGCGTTCTTCCCAAAACATTTTCTCTCTCCGTTCCTGCTTTACTTTTCTTCGTAACATTGACCACTGTCCCACACGGCGCCGCTTCTGTTTTCTGGCTCTCCTGCTAGACCCCACCTGTTTGTCTGTTTTGTTCCCTGTAGACCCAGCACCTTGAACAGTGCTCCATAAATATTTGCTCAGTGAATGAATGGGCCGAGTTCTTGAGGCTCTGTCCTGTTTGTTGTTTCTCCTGACTCTTGTTCATGATGGTTTGTGTCTTTATATGGTTTCATATGTTTTATTGTGAGCCCTTCCTTAGCAGGGCTTTTCCCTCCCTGTGAAAAACCTCATGATAATGTCCTTTCTGAATGGTTTTGCGCTTATATCTGTCAGGTGCACCAGGTAGGGTTGCCAGACAAAATACAGGATATCCAGTTAAATTTGAATTTCAGAGAAAGAACAAATAATTTTTTTAGTTTAAGAATGTTCTGTGTAATATTTGGGACATATGTATACTAAAAACTATTCATGTCCTATATATTTTTATTTGCTGAATCTGGCAATACTAACACCAGGAATCTATCAGCCCTGTACCAGTTTTTAGTTTAACTTTTGGGTCGGTGGTTCCTAGACTGTGCTAAAAACGTAGACCCAACACCGTGTGAGGCACAGGCCCCAGGTTTTCATTTCTCGGGGGAGACTTCGCTGGTCATCCAGGGCCATTCATCCTTTGTTGTCTGTTTTATTGGGCAGATTTTTTTTAGGTTCATCCTTTTACTGTTCCAACTCCCTGTCATGCCAAACTCCAAATCTCGTCTCCTATCTTTTCAAGGTTACATATGCAGCATCTGAGTAACCAATACCCTCCCACAGCCCCAGGATGCTCAGAGCCTCAGCTCCAGTGCTGGTCACTCTGTTTTAAAGTGTCGTCTTTAATTCTGATGCCTGGGTATTGCCCTGTATTTCTTGAGATTCGCGGGGCCTTTTAAAGAACTCTGATTTTATTGTACCTAACATCCCTAGGAACTTACAGACAGGTTTGCGTCTCATCTTGCTGGAATGATGCCTCCCCAGCAGGCAGGAGATAGCGTATTTATTACAAATAGCAAAGCATTTAGAACCATATAGAACTCAGGTTTAACCTGGGATTTAATCTTTTTAACTACACATTTCAAGCGCATTATTGGTGCTCAATCAATTAAACAAGTAGGCCACCGGCCTGAGGTGGCTTTAATGCCCTGGTGGCCTGCAGAAGCAAGCCCGAGTCTAAACCTGTAAGGGCCGCAAGGTTTCGAAATCAAATGCTAAGGACAACCAACGACGAACAGCCAACTAGGGTTAAAGCTATAGCCAATCCGATAATTTCCTTTCTTTGCTCCCCCATGTTCTCTAAGTCTTTCCCCGGGCCTCTTTGGTGGAGTGCTCCTAACCACTCCTGGTTTGGCAGCACCGGGTTAGAATCTATAAATACTCAAATAAACTTAACATTTTTTAAATGCCTCAGTTTATCCTTTAACATTGGTGATTTCTAAACCCACTTCTTAATCCCTAAAGTGGAAATGATTATACAAGGGCTGCCGTGAAGATGAATTTATATCCGTCTTTTGCATACAGTAGGTGATCAATAAATACTAACTCCTCTCTTTCCAGCCAATCTGAAGTCTGAAACTGTCCTCCAGGGACAGCTCAGTCAGTTAAAGGTCTGCCTTCGGCTCTGGTCATGGTCCTGGAGTCCTGGGGTCCTGGGATCGAGCCCCGTGTCTGGCTCCCTGCTCAGCAAGGGGTCTGCTTCTCCCTCTCGCTCTCTCAATTAAAAAAAAAAAAAAAAAAAATCTAAAACTGTCCTCCAGCACCACTTCCCTTGGAGTCCTTTTCCAGCGGAGGTGGCCTTTTCTCTTCAACAGCTGCACTGGCTGTGGCCAGGGGGCAGGGCAGACCTTCCTCCCAACACCCACTTCCCACCCATTCTCACTCTCTCTCCCGCTTGCAAAATCCTCTCCCTCTGTGATACTCCTGCCCCCTAGCTCTGCCACCTTTTCTTCTCGCTGTGGCACCTAATGTCCCCCAAGCCACATTCTCCGTTCGCTGAGGACTTTTGCCTGGCTCAAGGTCTTCTCCATTCTTTCCCTGTGATCGCACTGGAGAATTCAGTGTCCAGCATGGTTTTTTGACGTCTCCTCTAGTAACCTCCACTCTACTGAAACTCCCTGCACAGATGTCCACACTCCTGTCCACACTCCTTCGGCAAGAACTCCAGCTCAGAGAGCTTACTAATTCTGTCTGCTCCAAACCTCCTGTTCTTTGGATTCCTCACCTTTCACCCTACCTGTGCGTTGACCTCATGAAGATATCGGATGCCCAGATAATCACCATTTTCCTCTGGTTGTTAAACTTTTTAAGTTGAATTTCCTTTCCATCCAGCATGTGAACTGTTTTGTCTCAGCATTTTCATGCCGCTGTCTTTCCAGGAACCCCAAACCGTGAGGCCCTAACGACAGAGGTCCCCCTCAGCATACCACCTGCACCTGTCCACCACGGCAGCAGGAGAACACTGTGTAATTATTCACACCGGGGCTCTTACCGACTCCTAGCTTCCCCACTTACCTGGGCCCCATTACTCCTCAACCTTATCAAGCTGATCTTCGATAATTGCCCCTCAGCAACTGTTCCAAAGCAGTGCCACTCCTCCCACCTTCCCGTACTCTGAGGCCTTGCCACACTCCTTCCCCTCGTGGTCCTTAAAATCAGACCGGGTACCTGCCTGTCTAGCCCTCTTCCTACAGAAAACTGCATCCACGCCAGTCCTTTTCGTCTCCCGTCCTGGGTCAACGGGAAAGGGGATCAAAACCTTCACCGGTGACCTAATCCCCATTGGCTTCTCCCTCATCACAGATTTTGCCCCTACGATTCCCTTTTCCCATGTCCTCACCTCTCCCTCTCAACTGGTATTTGCCTCTTGGCCTATAAAGTTGTTCAAATCTCTCTCAAGTGTAAAGAATTCTCCCTTAACACCCCAAGGCTATCTCCTTGCCTGTCCCCATTCTTCCAAGAGTGATCTAACCTGGCATGTTCGTGTGCCTCAGCTCCCATTCATTCTTGTCTGATGTAACTTTTGGTCATACGTGGTTATGCACTGGCTATACATACAAAACGTAGTAACCCTTTCCATTTGTTTAAGCCGCCTTTTGCATCCCTTTAGGGATTTTAAGTGGTTTTTGTGTAAGTACTGCACATTTTTTGTTTAATTTATGCTTAGGTGTTTTTTTGTTGTTGCCATCAGAAATGGTACCACCCGCCTCCTTTTATAGATCAAGAGCTGGTATAGCCTTGGTGGAAAAAAGTATACATTCTGGAACTGGACTGCCTGTGTTCAGATTCTGCTATCGTTGTGTGATCAAGAAAGTGTTATTTTATCTCTCTCTGACTCCATTTCCTTATTTCTAAGAGGAGACTGTGGTAGGATATACTTCATGGGGTTGCGGTGAAGATTACAAGGGTTAATACATGTAAAACCCTTAGAACAGTGCCTGACCCATGGTGGGCACCATGTTGGTATTAGCTATTACAGACGTATTTTTTTCATTAAAAGTATTTTTAAATATTAAAACGTATTTTTTCTTCCTCTTTGATTTCTTTATATTCTATTCCTTTACTAAATTTCCTTGTTTCTAGTAGTTTTTAGTTGATTCTCCGAGTTTTTCTGGGAATGTGATCATGTAGGCCAATATTGCTGTTGCAACCTCCTTTACCAAATTTATATGTACACTTAATTCCACTGGCAATACCTCCCTTACCACATTAAATGTTTCCAGTATCTCCCTACTCAGCATGATGCTGGCTTAGGGGTAGCAATAGATTACACTGAGGTGTATATTAAGAAAGCATCCGTTCATTCCTTTTTTTCCTCACCAAGAATTAGTGTTGGATTTTCACCAATTAGTTTTCAGCATCCATGGAACTAGAAGCAAATGATTTTTGGGGAGCCTGGGTGGCACAGTCGGTTAAGCTTCCGACTCTTGGTTTCGACTCAGGTCGTGATCTCAGGGTCATGGGATCAAGCCCTGCACTGGGCTCCACACTCAGCGGGGAGTTTCTCTCTCCCTCTGCCCCTCTGCGGTGCGCTCTCTCTCAAATAAATGTCTTAAAAAAAAGCAAATGATTTTCTTGCCTAGGATCCCTTTCTAGACCCAGCCATATGATTAATTATATCATTGGATGTCCTAATATTAAACAGTTATGGTGTGTGAGTCCATTAAACTGCTGAATTCACATCAATAACATTTTATTTAGGATTTTTGCATTAATGTTCTTTCACGAGACAGGTCTTGTCATTTTCTTTGTGTCAGTCTTCATCAGGTTTATTAGCTTGACAAAAACAATTTCATTTTCTCCTCCTTTTGGTTCTTTTCTTGCTAGGCATTGAAATAATCTGCTCTTTAAACGTTTGGTAGCATTGCCTATGAAACCATATATTTGTGGTAATTTTGGGAGGAGGCAGCACTGACAGTTTTTTCCATGGAAATCTGTTTAGATTTTAAAACTTCATTCAGTTGGTTTTTTGTTTTTTGTTTTTTTTTAGGATTTTATTTATTTGAGAGAGAGAGTGCACAAGCAGGAGGAGTGGCAGAGGAAGAAGGAGAAGTAGGCTCCCCCCGAGCAGGAAGCCTGATGTGGGACTTGATCCCAGGACCCTGGGATCATGACCTGAGCCGAAGGCAGACGCTTAACCAACTGAGCCACGCAGGCGCCCCAAAACTTAATTCAGTTTTGGTAAATTACATTATCTTTGAAAAGTTTTCAAATTTATTCATATAAAATTAAAATAGTTTTTTATGACCCATTCATTCCCTCTGTTTTTATGGTTATTTCTCCCTTATTTTGTACATTTGCCTCTACTCTCCTTTTTCATATTAGTTTAGCCAGCAGTTCATCTGTTGTCTTTTTCCCCCTGAAAATTAGTTGATTTCTTTTTTTTTGGTTCAATTTTTCTGCTTTCAGAAGCAGATAATGCATTTGTTACGGCGCTCGGCAGAGAAAAAAATGTCCTTACTGATGGTGAGACTGACGCTTGCCCAAATGTCACAAGTATCCTGTTGCAACCCAGCTCCCTGAAGACTACGGGAACCCTGTGCACATGAAGGGCGAGGGAGGGAACGTTCCCGTCTCAAGAGTCTGCAGCTCTGCCATGGAATGTCAACAGTCACCCAACTGCAGAAAATCTATTCCTAGTGAAATTCAAATCCAGCTCAACTGTCATTTTTAAAAATCAAAACTTAATCAATCCTAGGCTCCATAAAACCTTGCACCATTAAAAAAATATATAAGTGGGGGAGAAAGACTGAAAAGCTGACAGTTTCATCTGTATTTCCCTTTCTCCCTTTGTGGCCTATTAAAGTAGAATCAAGAGAGGGATTTGAGTCCTGGCTGACACCTACTAGCTGTGTAACCCTGGACAAGGAATATAACTTTCTAGTTCTCAGTTTATTCATTCTCCCAATAAAAAGTATTTTGACAATCTTCATAAAATCTTCCAGTTCTAATAGGCAGAAGCAGAATATCATATTTGGAGAATGTGCTGCCCCCTGCTGGCATTTTGACAAATTGCAAATTTTACCAATCCAAAGCAAAGACTGCAAGTTTGTGTATTTTATATTTTGTGGCTCTAATTTTCCTTCTTATACTTCCATTCATCTATCTTCCTATTTATGAGCCAGATTTTACAATCTTGTTACTTTTGCCATTCAAATCTTCCTTCCTTCCCAAATTCTTTGAAAGTTTTGTTGCAACCTCCCAATCCTGTGATGGCTGTTTAGAATTTTCTTGTGGTTCTGTTAATTTTTGCTTTATATAATTTGAGGCTATTTTAAATTAATATATACAAGGTTAGAATTATTTTAATTTTGTACTGAGTTGATGCTTTAAGAATTGAAGTAGGTTTCTCTATCCCTGGTAATGCTGCTTTTTTTCCCCCTTGAAGCCTAGTTTCTCTGACAGGAATAATTATCTCTGTTAGCCTTTGGGGAATATATGCCCAGTGTATCTTCTTTATCATTTCACTTTCAGATTTTCTGTGTCCTTATGTTTTCAGTGTGGATTATTTTTTCCAATCTGAATTCTTTGTCTTAACAAGAGAGTTTAGTCCTTGATCAAGCCCTCTCAAATCCAATCCTAGTAGCACTTGGCACCTGGCAGTATATGCTAGCTAATTCTTACACTTGTGAGGTCTCATCTCTTTTCTCCCTTACCAGGCCCAGCACATCCACAGCCAGGCTGTGCTAGGATTTGAGCCTAGTTACTGGCCTGGCAGCCAAGAGAGGAGATGGGGACAGTAACTGTCTGAGGGGGCGCTAGAGGGACCCACAGGACTAAGCATAGAGCTGCACTCACAACTATGATATCACAGAGAAAGAACACCAGGCAAAATCAGCAAAGGGGAAAGGCACATGAACAAAGTCCAGAGGAAATCTGGCACAAGCTCCAAGAGTCTTCTTCTAATTAAGTCACAGAGGATGAGCTGAATTCCTCCAGCAACGATGTGTAACACATGAAATACTGTCCACCGGGAAGTCGGCCTGAGCCTGGGCAAGCCTGCAGTCCAGGGTTTTTACTGGGCCTCAGTCACGGAGGTACCCTCAGCCTGGCATGTATCCAAAGTCCAGATTCCCAGAAGGAAAGCAGGCATTTAACATAAATCTTATTGTTTGTACAAAGGCTTCAGGCACAGTAAACCACCCTTATCAGTTAGGGAATGGGAGAGGGGGGACACTCCTGAAATCCAAATTGCTGGATACTAGCCAGAGGTGAACTCTGCAGGTAGGCCTTTCTAAGGAGAACAGGTTCAGGGACATCATTTATGAAATACGTAGTAAACTGAGCCGTGGTCTCATGCCAACCACTTACCGATCAGGAGGTCCTCCTCTTCAGCCTCTCGGTGGGAGATGAGCCGGTTCCTCACCTAAGAACCTGTTTCCTCACGTCTCACTCCTGGTCCACTTGTGTTAGCCTGGGTCCTCCAAGAAGCAGACACCAAGACCAAGAAGGGATCTGCTGTGTAACAGATTTATTAGGAGCAATGCTGGTGAGGCAATAAGAGAGGAAGCTGGGTTTAGTGGGAAGCTGGAAGCAACCAGCCCCCGATGCAGGTAGGAGCTCAGCTGCAGGAGGGAAGGTGGGGAGGAAGCCACTGAGATTAGAATGTAATCCTACGGGAGTCTGGCAAGACCGTCAGGAGTCCTCAAGCCAAGGCAAGGTCCTGTCGTGGGGGCAGCAGCTGGAGAAGCTGGGATGGGTTTCAGAGCGCAGCAGCCACGGAGCCCGGAGTGCCTGTGCTGCACCTGCGGGACGTCTGCGAGCCGCAGTCTCCTAGCCGCCGCCACAGGGGCTACCACTCTCAAAAGACACCTGAAAAAGATTTAGTATCAGACAAATATTTAGCACCAACAGCGCATGGTAACTTGCAATACTTTTAGTTAAAAAAAAAAAAGTTACAAAACCACCTAAAATAGAACACTGATTAAAAGTGAAAATGTAAATAATCTTTTAAATTTCATAGATCGAACAACATTCCAAACTGCTTGCTGAGCTGGGAGCTTAAGCTGACCTACAGACACCATATTGTATGAGGACTAAATCAAGGTTAATCAATGACAAAAAATAAGTGTTTCTAAATGTTCATAACTTAAGTAGTCTTCTGAAATATGATTTGTATTCATCAATACTAAGAGTAAAATACCATTTGTAAGTTTATCTTGCTGATTGACCTCAAATACCCTTAGCAAAGCAAAGGCATTCCTACACATTTTACACCTAGTCCTTAGGTTGACTATAAGTGACCATATGTAAAACTTCTGAAGCAAAGAAACAGAACAATGTTTACAGATGTTGCTAAAAATTATTTTACACCTATTTTGGAAACTTCTCAACTCTGTGGGCTCAGAGGATAAAATGGAAGAATGTCCTCTTACACGGTATCTAAAAGGATCGGTTTTTTAATTTGTTTCAATATTATCCGCTTAGAGAACATTGACTATCAAAATCTGTAACATAAAACTAACCCAAGGAGACTAGAGTCTTTGCCATCTGCTAAGTTTCAACAAAACGCTGGTCCCACAGTTGCTCTGACAGTTCCTTCCAACCACCATGTTTTTAACTAACCCAGAGTAAACATTTCCTATGATCACACAGTTAATTCCTACCAAAAAAAAAAAAAAAAAAAAAAAGTTGCACTATAGTAACTAGGTTTCAGCCTTCGCATGGACCTGATGGCTGTTAGTACAAATGATAGAAGCTACTAGAAATAAACCAAAATATTTAATGGGAAAGAAACTTAAAATGTTTGGGGTGCCTGGGTGGCTCAGTCGTTAAGCATCTGCCTTGGGCTCAGGTCATGATCCCAGGGTCCTGGGATCGAGCCCCGCATCGGGCACCCTGCTCCGCGGGAAGCCTGCTTCTCCCTCACCCACTCCCCCTGCTTGTGTTCCCTCTCTCGCTGTCTCTCTCTCTCTGTCAAATAAATAAGTAAAACCTTAAAAAAAACCAAAAAACTTGAAATGTTGTTTTAAAAATGAGATCAATACCATTTTAATGTAGAAGATGCCATCTTTATTTACAGGCTAATAAAAAAATATTAAACTCAACTAGATATAATACATTTGTCATAAATCCTATAGATCTGAGGCCGACCCTATGTGGAAGACTGAATAAGTGGAATGGTGGAATACATAATAAAGATGTCAAATAATGTGTGACTTACACATGAATCAATGAATCAATGAATTTTGTTTCTTAACATGAAAACAAAGTAAGTCCACTGTGTGGGGAGTAAAACCAGCACCAAGCACAAGCTGTGTTACCTTTTGACAACTATTCAGTTATAATTACAAAGACTCAGAACCTTTCATTTCTCTTAAATGTGTTTTAACAAGCCTCATAACCCAAAAGTTGCTGCTCCAGCATATTCCTAACAGATACTGTAGAAGAGAGTTTTAGAGGCTAAACTGTAAATACACACACCCCTACACACAACCCTCATACTGTGGAACATTTTTTCTCAGCTCCTCTGTGTGTGCATTTGTAGATTTTTTCTTTTTCCTCTTTAACTGTAATGGCTTCGCAACAGTTCTCTCCTTTTCTATTTGGTTTTGTCCTAGAAACTTAGGTGCTAGGAATTTCTTCCCTATAAATGTGAAAATATAAAAACTGCTTCTCATTCAGTCTCTAATTCTTAGCTCATCCCCCCAGAGACCAGTCTAAAATGAACTTTTAACTAGGTACTTTCTAAACTCCTGCCAGGAAGCTCACAGTAGCATCTGAGCAACAGGATTCTCATGCAGACTTCGCAAACCAGGGTGAAGCAGGAATGAAAACAGAACTGACTTAAGCAATCTTAAACTACCTGGGAAATCTTTCCTTCTGCTCTTCAGCCCTTGAAAGGAGTTTATGTCATAACCATCCCATATGATCCATATTACATAGCATCTCCAGAGAAATGCCAATTCAAGGCTCTTAAAATACTCTTTATGGACTTTTTCAGATTGTTCTCGAAAATCAAAAAGTTTTAGCTAGGATCTCCTAAGGATTCTGTCTAGTAGATAAAGGATATTCTCTGGAAAAAAACCCAAAAACCCAAAAAACAAAACCGCCGTGGTCATCCCATCCCAGGCTGCGTTTTAAAAAAAACAAGAACATGGTTTCAAGTCACAACAAAAATGCTTTCAGATACACTGCAATGGAAATTTTTTTGGCTAAGTGAATATACTGGCTCAACTACACCTTGCAGATTTCATGTCATGCCTGGGGTATGTGTTTGGTGTAAGGGGAATGCATAAGGAAAAAACTTTC